TATATCTGAAAAGTAAGGCATAGGAGATATTAATTGATTTAGTATCCCACTAAGAGCTGCAAGCTCTTCTAGAAGTAGAAGTGAGGCTTATTGACAAGACAGTACATACAAAATGTTTTTGACAGCTCAGAAATGTAGACACGTAAGTCTTAGTTTAAGATGTGATCTTATGGACTGAATATTGTGTACCAAACTCATAAATAGGTCTCTTCAAAAGCCCCAAATGTATCTAATGTTCTCTGATACTGATAGCACTGTTAGGCCACAAATTCACAATCATTTGTAAGATAGGCTCCAGATAGTACAATACATTTCTCCTGCAATAAACACAAAACATAAGGAAGGGACACTCCACTTCCATTCCTCCTCTCTCCCTGGAAAAATATTTGGTGGACATAAAATCTTAATTCACTAGCTAGCTAAAGAACGCAAAGACACAATTTTCCCTATCTAGTCAGCCAAGTAAGGTAAAATTTAAGCCCTAATCTGTAGTGAGGAGGTAATCTTTAAGAAGAATAGCCAGTTAGGACTTGGATTTAAACTGTTATAATGAAAGTATACTTGAAATTAAGGAAAAGCCAGAGAAAGCTAAATGAATGAGGACTTCCAAGTGTCTTTAGAGAAACAGACAAAATTGTGTGCAGTAAAAACTGATGACATTTGACTGCTTGCAAATAAAGAAACAGAGTGCCGTCAAACATTAATCAAGATTTGAACAATAAGCTGCTTAGCCTTAATCTTAACTTCTTATTTTACTATTTAATGGGAGAGCAGAATTTTTATAACAGAAAAAGAAATTATCAATTTCAACACTAAATGCAACTTCCTGTTGTATATGATGAAATGGTCTAATTTATGACCCCAAACAGGACAAGTTCAATTCTAGTGTCACACAGAGCTACATACAACGCTTGTAGTTATACTCAATACATTGAAAACTTATTTACAATTTCCAAACTGATGCAGAATGCAGAATTTTTAAAAAAGATGATTATCAAGATCACCAAGGCTTTCCATATTTAGTTTGTTCCAAGGTGAGTGAATACTCATCTTTTGACAGAAAGTAATTAGTTACTGGGAGCACCTATACTCAAATATTGGCATCTGTGAAGCTTCTAACATTACACAAAATCTCTCTAATATCCAAAAGGCTAGCAGACCTAACCATTCCTAGAAACGGTTTAATTTGCAGGGGCACTGTCACTTGCAAACCAAGCATTTTTGTTCCATGTTCCCAGTGGGAGTGTCAGGTGATCTACCAAAGGAAGTAGCAGTTGAATTTATGCATGACTGAAACTAAAAACTCTTAGTCAAGGACATGAAAATAATCCAGAGGTAATGATTAATCTGTTATTAATCAAAAAAATCCTTTGTGATTTGGTATTACAAGCGTGTATATGAATCAGATTCTATGCTTAGCCTAGTACATGTCTGCGTTTTCCCTTATTTCACTTTCAAATTCTTCACTGTCAAAAAACTTGTATGGTGTTCCAGCATCCACTTCTCAGCAGTAATATATAGTAAGCGACATTCACACACTCACCACCAACACACAAGTCTTGTTTTTTTCAATAAAGGAAGAATTTTCACTTACAAAACCCCCCACAAATGCAAATAATTTGATTCACATTAGTCAGATTCATCAAGACCAATGTTTTCCTGTAATTTGAAAACAGGATGTATGTCTTATAAATCTCAGAAGACAAACACAATGCTCAAAATATCACCTCCTGTTAGCAATTAAAGCAATTCAGCATGTTCCCAAGAAAAAAGCAGCAACACATATTTATGTGTATATGCATGCACATATATAAAAATTGGAATCTATCAATCTTCAACCAATTCTCAGCAAGTTTTTACTTCTTGTTGTTCTATTCCTGCTAATGGTGCCATAAAACACAAAGACTAAATTTCTTAAGCAAAACAATTAACTATATCTAGAATTCCTCTGTTGTGCAGAAGTATGACAAGCTAAGATCCTACCTAATGAGCAAGCAGAAAATAAAGAACTAAAATCTGAAGGAAATCAAATATGACAGAGATGTTAATTTGTTGCTGTGGATGTTCATCTATGAAGGAAATTCCATTTAGATATAACTTGAACTTGGAATTTAAGAGACTGCTTGCAACATTTTCCAAAATGTGAAAAGAAAGCTAATTCATTTTCCTGGACCATTCCAAATCTGAATTGTTAAATTTACAGGAAATTTTAAATTCTCTATCTTTATTTAGTTATATAGATACACATTTTGAGTTTTGCTGGATCTAAGAGGTCCTCAACCCATTGTTTGGAAAGCTAAATCTTGAAAGCTGCAACACAAATATTTCTTATTCTTCTACTCATGAACTTGGATTGAAATGAACACTTCTTTCCTAACACCATTCCTACATAACCAGGCAATGTTCTTAAATTGCTCCTTTGAAGGATGATCTCTGTTATAAAAGTACATTGCTTTCTGGCATCAGAACTCCCTCAAGAGTTCCCTGCTAAGATAAATCAATCTCCTGACACATTTACCTGTTCTCCTGAGTATTAGGAAAACAATTTGTTGCACTTGGAAGATCCTGTACTTCAAGATCTGCAACCTTTGGTGAACTCCTTTGTTTACCAGTCAGAACTGCCTCCCATGGGATCCTACCCAACAGTTCCCTGACTAAGCCAATGTCCTGCTTTCCTTAGGTTCAGGGTCTGTACTCTGCTGTTTGCCTTTCTCACTTCCTTCAGGACCACAAACACCACTATTTCAAAGTTACTACAAACAAGGAAACTATTCATCATCATATCCCCAAGTAGCTTCCTTCATATTAGTCAACAGCAGATCCAGCTGTGCATCACCACTGGTTGGTCCATTTAATACCTACAGCATGAAATTATTCCTAAAACCCTCCAGAAATCTCTTTGACTGCAGCGGCCATGTTGCCTTTCTAGCAGTTGTACAGTCAGTCCCCCATGAGAACCAGGGTCTACAACTCAGAGACTTGAGCTCTTTAAACACTTCATTTCCTTCCTCATCAGGTGCTCTGTAACAAACTCTCACCATAATGTCACCCTTACTGGCCTCTCCTCTGATCCTGAGCCACAAGTTTGACTATCACCATCTTGCAGAGCTCAAAAGATCTGAGCTGCTTATAGATCTGAAGGCAACTTCCATCCCCTCAGCCCTTCCTTGCCAGTCTTTCCTGAAGTCCTTCACAGTGTTCCAGTTGCATGAACTTGGCACAGTATCTTAATTGCTCCAAGAATATTGTAGTTCTATAACCACATACAGCTCTAATTCTTCCTGTTTGTTTCCCAGGATGCATGCATTTCTGTACCAACCCTTGAGGCGGGTGTCCCTTTACCTTGGTTTATCTTTCCTGAAGTCTTTCTTGCTCCTGTCACCCTGCATCTTGAGCTTTCCATCCCTGACCACCACTTCACTTTACTGTGGTCTGTAATCTCCCACCCCCACCAATCCTTCTTCAAAGTTCTCCTCATTAGGTTGGCCAGACTGTTGGATCAAGGATACAACACCTGGGCCCCCATGACCTCAACCCCAGAGCTATATGGTCATTCCCAATATACCCCCAGCTCGTGCCCATGTGGATAAGCAGCAGGGAAGTGGTAGCTGAAGGACTAGACACACCTTGACAATCTCTCTGTAATGTTCTGGATCCAAGCCCACAGCAAGCCATATAACCCTCAAAAACACAAGTGGGGGACACAGGGATTTCTCTCCCCACAGGAGGAAGTCTCCTACTACTGCCACTCACTGCTTCCTCCTGATGTTAACAGATGGTTCAGGTTAAAGCTGGCTCTGATGCCTCCACATTCATGGCTTTCTTCTCCTGCTCTGCTAGGCTTTTGAACCTGTTCTGCAACTGCAGATCTGCATGTGGAAAAAGAGCCATCCTGCAGTTGCTGGAGAACATAAGTTTCCAGCCTTCCTACTATGGGACTTGATTTACCTCACAACTGATCGCAGTCTCTGGCTGCCTGTCCTGTGTGGTTCAGACTCTCTTATCTCTGGGGACCCTGTGAAGAACCTGTTAATCTCCTGTTTATCTTCCCTGAGCCTTCCCAGCCTTCTCATGTCCTTCTGCAGCTCAAAAGGGGCAACACATTTCCTCAACCAGCGTACACCTCTTGTAGGAACAGACACTCCTTTCCCCTTCCCCAGCCTCAGGGGAAGGTATCAAGCACTGCCTGCAGCCCAAGGCCTGGGGACCTGTATTCTACCTTAGCATCTCCAAGCAGAGGTCTCTACTGTGCCAGCAGCAGCAGTCCCAGCTTGTGCTGGGGACCCCACCCCAGGGCATGCCACTACTGTTGCTGATGTGCCTCATGCTGCCATCAGCACATTTCCAGCCCCCTCCCACATACAAACTGCTGGACAAGCCAATGGTCCCCACAGACACAGCTTGGGACCTGTGCGCTGGACCTGGCAGTTACGCAGCTCTCCCCTAGTGCCACCTGAATAGGCACTTGGCTATCCCCAATGAGGAGTCACCTCTCTTGGCCACAGCCTAGATCTCAGGATGTCCCCAACACCTCTGAGGGTGCCGCCAGGCTGCCACCGCCACCATGCCCACTTGGTAGCCCAGGAGCAACATCCTCACAGTGGTGGGGCTTCCCCACACACCCCTTCTGCCCGAACACACGCCCAGCTGGACCCTGACATCAGGGGTACATCAGGGCCACCACCCTCACTACATGTGGGGGCGGGACACCAGCACCTGCCTCCTCCAGCCGGTCCTGTCCTGTGAGACTACGGACACCCTAGCGCTGCCCTTGCAGCTCCCCAGCACAGGTGTCACCATGGCAGCACTGGGAGCTGGGCTTCTCCACACACCCTTGGCAGGTCCCTCCCCCCAGGCTACTGGGATAAATAGTTGATAAATCATTCATTTACCACTTTAATAAACCCTAGGTACAATTTTACTCTTAGTTACAACACAAGAAATCAGAAGTCTCAATTTTGTTTCTTACTCCATGTGATAATGAGGTACTGCTAACATACCTGTTTCAGGCTTTCCAGCTTGGTTTGTCTCAGTTCTTCATATTTCCATTTCCAAAGAAATAATTCATTTTCTGTCTTTTCCATTTCTTTTTCCAGAAATACATTCATTCTGAAAAAGTATTTTGAAAGTCAGCAATTACATCTTTTTGAAGTTGACAACAAATTACGTTGAATTCCCTTTTCATAGTTTGAGTTATATTTTGCTGCCTTTGTCAACCATATATCTGTTTTTATTAAAAACTTATATTATCATCATATAATTTTTCCAAGGGATTTACCAAAAATAATAGCTAAAGAGAACAAAGAAATTCAGTAGCATAGAATTAAAATTTTAAATGAAATAAAATTTTGGGATAAACTGAAGAAAATTTGGAAATGGACTTCAGTTAGTGATTCAGGTCACCTAATACATGGTGAGCTAGTGAAGATCCTCAGAGAAAAGATACTGCATCACTTTTATTTGGGTACAGACAGAAGATTATTTTAAATACACATATACAGGGGAATATATACAGTATGTAGACAGTACTGAAACCAAAGATGATCTACTTTAGATGTAAAAAAAATTATTAAAATATGTATATTTCATGTTTCAAAAAATAATTGTTCTTGAAAGAAAATGCTAAAAGAATTTTAGCAAAATTGATTATTCAGCTCAGCGGTACTACACCCTCATTAAGCATTTGCCTCTGGAATGTTATTTGAGCATAAAGTCCATTGTTACATTCAGGACAAATATTTAGGATACACAGTTCACAAAGAATACATGATGATTCCTTGGAGAAAGGTACTGTATTACTGAAACAATGACCTTTGATATTTACTTTTACCCCTCTTCTAACCAATTAAAGTATTTTCAGTCATTCAGGAAATAATGAAAGAAATATGAAGCAGCCAAGGCACTACAGATGATCTTGTCTTTGAGACCAATTAAAAACTCATTTCTGTGTTCACAGGAAACACTATCAGACAAGTTCTAAACACAAGAATGAATGTCTCAAAATTTCATTTTATGAAATTCCTTAATAATTTCATTTTACATTTGTGCAATGCATATGCATAATTTCACAAAAAAATAACAAATTTGGAACATAATTAAAAGTGAAAGAGAAAATTCTTAATTACAAATAAAAGCTTTAAAATTGTATTTCTAACATTTCTATGATATCAAATTGGAGTTTAAAATTCTGGAATATTCCATTGGCTATAAATATCAATATAGGAATAAAGCTTATAAAGTCAGGACACTGAAGAAACTTGAAATCTGAAAAACAGTAAAAATGCATAAGTACTATTATGCTGGGAGGTGAAAATTTTACACTCTATAAATTCTGTGAAAATGGAGGGATGAAGGGCTACTACACCAGAAAAGAGAAAAATACTGAAATAGTTGAAAATAAAATTTTAATACTGGCAATTAAAGAAACTGTTGTTGTATGCCACAAGAGTTATTTTCTATTCTGAGGCTAATGGAATTTGTTAACATTTTTACTAAAGATATTATTGCCAAGCTGACTATAACTACATTCTGAGAATATTTGGTTTAAAATTCATCTTCCACAACAACATTGTTAACTTTAAGGAATTAAAGCAAAGGGTGTTGATGAGGTTTGTCTGGGGCATGCCTATGCAGCATACTGCAGGTTTGTGCAGAGATACCAAGAGTTACCACTGACTGGCTCAGGTCCTGGAAGTAATGTTAGCTACATTAATGAAGCAATCCACTTGAGTGAAGTATCCTTGTTCTCTCTTCTTTTACAGCTAAACCTAATGCTCTTGAACCAGGATCTCCTTTTCTCTGCATAGATACAGCACATAGCATACCTTATCTTAGTAAACACCTATGGCTCCTGTAACGTTATAGGAATAAAATAAACACCATCATCACTCGCAAAGCAAAGTGGAGCAAGATGACTTCTGTCATATGTAAAGAACCTAAGACATGCATTTTAACTGAATAGTTTTTCTTCTAAAGTAATGGGATATCTCAGTGGGATGGTATCATGACATCACTGGGGAACTAAAAGAATGATTAAGAGGGACGTTTAATACAGTAGAAAGTGAAAGCATGAAGGATGACAGTTTAATACTTTGAACAGTAGTCTACTGACTGTACTGAATGCACTGAAAGTCCTTAGAAATGGTCTAATCCGAAAGGTAAAAGAGGAATGTCCAGTGTGTGGTGTTTACTTCGAAGATACTATTATTTTGTGTTACAGTACCTCTTAAGTGAGATCAGGTCCCTCTGATGCTACTAAATGAAGCTTACTATTTAAATAAAGAAAACAAAAAGTGGAAGAAAGAACATAGCAGAGATCAATGAAGCCGCTTACTACTACTTAAAGATCAAGATCAGAGCATTTTTAATGGACTTCATAACCACCTTTTTTAACTCCTTATTATCTAATTAAATGGCAGAATTACACCGAATGGTTGAGGTTGGAAGGGACCTCTGCAGGTCATCTGGTCCAACCTCCTCCTCAAGCAGGGTAACCTAGAATTGGTTGCTCAGGACCATGTCTATATGGCTTTTGAATGTTTCCAAGAATGCAGACTCAGCAACCTCTCTGTGCAACCTGTGCCAGTGTTTGGTCATCCTCACAGAAAAAAAGTGTTTCCTGATGCTCAGACAGAGCCTCCTGTGCCCATTGCCTAAGTCTACCCATCCAGCCCTAAGCAATTCCTCTTCAATATTATCAACTACCAGTGTAGCTGGTGGGCTTTTGGGTTTAGGCCAAGAAACACGTTTAAGTTCAAAATGGAACAAATTAAGATCATGCAACTAGAAGACATTTAGATGAGAATACTGATCCAAAAGATGACTAAATATAGCTATTTTAGGCAAATGATTCTTTGAAGTGCTGAATAACTCATATGGTCTTTAATTCCCATTCATGTCACAGGGACCTCAAACATGTATTCGATATGAGCCATAGCGCCTAGTAGAGGATTTTGGTGTGTGATTTTACATTGTAAACCCAACCCGAAAGTTCTTTGAAAGACAAAACATAAACTTTGAGGTCTTTTTGGTTTTGTGGTGTTTGTTTTTTTTTTTTGAGCTCCTATCTTTTTATATTTTGCAAAGCCTGATCCATGGCTTAAGGGTGTATTGGCATTACTGAAGATAACTCTAAACAGAATGCAAGAATAGGTCCTCTCAGGGTGAAGAAGCAAAACATCTTACGGAGAGATTAGTCAGGTAATTAGGGGCAAGTCCAAACACTGGATTTGCATGAGCTAACTTGACTCTGGAACAAATGCGGCCACAGTTCGGGAGTACTGCCTGTAAACCAGAAAACTGCTGAGAAGTCCTATGCTGTATGAGTAAGATCATACTGACTGCCAAGGTAACCTTTGGCCTTGGGGTTCAAGCTGTCTGTGATCCAAACTTGCTTTTGATGCAGCACAGCTGTGTGTCCTTGGCTCATGTTTACTGGGAAAATTACTAAGTTGTGAGAAAGAAGCTGTGAGAAAGTACTTAAGCTAGAGCCATGTAAGATAAGAAAAGTAAAAATGCAAACAGGGGTGAGATTGTTGAGATAAGCATTATTAGCAGCTCCAGAATCCAGAAGCAAAAATACTGACATGAACAAGTATAAAACCCTAAGAGGAAAAACCGTGAATCTGAAGATGGAAACTCAGCCAAATAAACCCATTCCAGTAAGCAGCGCAGACCAACCCTTTCTGAGCTGGCAGGTGATAGCCTGTCCAACAAAGACTTATAGGGTGCCTCAGGAGACTGGTGACTATGTTAATGCTTATCCTAGTAACATTATTCCTAGCTATTTATTGCGTGCATTGCCAAAAATAATTGCTTCATACTTTTAAGTGGCATATATTCTGCTTACAGAACACCTTTGCACATGCGAAATGTTGCCCAAAGTGACCTAGAGAGGGTGTTGTTACACCAATGCCCGCTGTTACGTGGAAATCACTGCTCTGTGAGCATTTGCTGCCTGAGGTTGGCACTGCCATATGTTGCATGGTGTAGACATGCCCCAGGTTTTACCATGTGCCAGTAAATGTATTACCATATACCATAGTTGGTATATATCTAGGGATAGGTGGTAAAATCTGTCTCTCTGAAGTACAGTTACAAACTGGCTAGAGAAGCACGTGAACAAGCAAACCAAAACCAGGAGGTAGAACCAGGGTTTATTAAAATTTTGTCTAAGAAGTGATCAAAAAATAAGAGTTGAAAAATTATCCCCTTTCTAAAAGGAAAGTTTTATGTATGCATGTATGTATACTGTGATTGCTGTTGAAAAATGAAGTACCTAGTACCATAAATATTTCAACCAGAGAAGAATAGATATGTGAGGCATCAGTCTCTTAACTCATATGAAATACCATGACAAAGAGGAAAATTTAGGCATTTTGGAATTTTTGCTTGCACAAAACACTAAATCCTTTTTAATGAGATAAAAAGTACTTCTGGTCATCTGCTGCAACACTCTTCAAATAAAAGAATTGTTTATTTTCTACAGCTACCTAATTTGTATAGCAGAGCACAGTAAATACTAGTTAGGAATTTAAAGTTGGTTTGTTTTTTTTTTTTAACTCAGACTTGTACTATCTACAGGACAATTGTTTAAAAACCTGACGTGAAAGAAATTCATCATAGTTTACCATTACAGCCTGCCTGAACTGAAACTGTTGGATGTATTTGCAATAGAGGGGGCATTTTCTTCCTTTTCATTTTCCAATTAACTTCAGCTGGTTTTGAAGTTACAGTCACATAGTGCCTGAAGTCTCCTACTACATCCATCATATATCTCACACTGCATGCTTCCTTGGAAAGCTTTTGTGGTGTGATTCAATCTTGCTCAATACTGATCATCTATACAAAACTTCAAAGAATTCCTACCAACACAGGGACTCACATGATAGCATATAGTCTGTAATCAACATACTACTTCTTTTAGGCCACCAAAATGCACATTTACTATTTATTTGAGGTAAATTTGATATGATACAGTAAGTGTACCATAAGTGTGCTATTCTCTCTCTGTTATCTGCTTTTGACATAGACCTTACTACAAATGAAGAGGTTAAGATTAACAGCATTTTGCAGCTGTATTAATGTACTTTTAATTCAAAAACAGCCTTAGTCATTCTGAGTTGGACTCTTTCAAAGTCTGCTGGTAGAGTATATGAAAATATGTTATTATGCACGAAGCACTCCAATAACTGAGCATAACATACATTAGATACCAAATTGCTAGTAAGTATAATTTTTTAATTAACTGTGCATTCTTAACAGTTCTCCATGGAGCACTTATTTAAATGACAGACAAGCCAAGAAAAACAATAAATGCATTATGCTGTATTTTCCCTCTAAATTCTTATCAAAGCTTTGTAAATAGCAATTAATAAAGCTTAGAAATGAGAACATATGAGCTATAAATGCAAATACCACCATATCTATTTTACAAAGTGCCTTAAACCTCTTTATTTTTAATAGAGATTTCCCCAAGTAGGATATATTTTGCACTTACTCTCTTTCCTTCTGTAAGATTTTCTGCATCTCAGCCAAATGCAAATGCAAGACTGAAACATATATTAAATCATTCTTTGTTGTCTTAGCTGTACTGTCCAAATTTTGTTTAGGTTCCTCCAAATAGATGCTGGGAACTCCATTGGGAAAGGAATCAGGAGTGATTTTTTTATTCTGATTGCTTTGCTCTTTGATTACCTCTACATCCTGAGAAAACAAAAATATGACATCTGAGAAAAACATAAATGAAAAGTCTAACATAACTTCTACAGGGCCTACCAAGGCTCTTCTAGACATTTAAGTCATGTAGGAGAAAAAGGAAATAAGGAACATCTTATGCAGTTACACTATATATGGATAGAATGTGCAAAAAAAGTCATTCACACCTTCTGCTATGACAAGCTTCATATCCAAAATATTTCTAATGTATCTTTACTAAAGAAACAGATCCCAATTTTCATTAGTTGGCTATAACTATGGTGAAGACAGAATCCTAGAACTAACAAAACCGGGAATGCAATTTATGCATAAAAATAATATATTGAGAAACTCTACATTAAGAACACTTAAACTTCTAATGTAAATCATGTTGAAGCAGACGATGGACTTATAGAAGTTTTGTATAAGGACCAAAGTTACTTACATAACGTAACAATTTGGATCCCATTCAGAAACTAAAAGCACTATAATATCTATTCTCAAGATACACATTTTGCACACAAAACATAAGCAAAACTAATAACAATTAGAAAAAATAATTAAAAAATAAAATAATTCTTTATTATGAAGACTGAACATCTCTTATAAATTATAGTTTCCTTTAGAAATGTTTTATCACCTATGATGAATTGTGTTTAAAAGCTAATCTCATTTTAGCAGATTATCAACAGTACTATTTCATACCACTGTCTTTTAAGTTTTTAGAATGCCTGAAATCTGTATCAGAAAATACTAGAAGTTGCTGATAAGGTAGGACCATTTTCCATTTATATATAAAGTTTCAGTTTTGAAGTAGTGCATTATTTTATACTAAGGAGAAAGAGAAACAGTTAAAATATATTTTGTGTCATTTCCTTCCTATGGCCCATTTGTCTGCCCAAAACTATGAAAGGCATGCATTTTTTTTGCCAAATTTCTTCTCACTACTAACATTATGGTAGGTTTTTTTCAGAATTCACAGGAATATAATGCAATTTATGTGCATTACAGAGTGAGTGAAAATTCTGAATGTAATATATTCAGGCCTAAGATCATGATAATTTTCATTGAACTGAAGTAAAACATTTCCTACATCCTACAATGTAGGAAAAAATGTTTTCCTACAATGCAGGAAAAAAACTCCTACATTTACAATGACTGCTAGCTATCAGACAAATAACAAGTATAGTTTTTACATGGTGCTGTTTATGAAGACTATATAATATAAGCCAAGGCACAGAATTAACTGGTAAAACATGAGCAAATAGTTCCATTTTTATGAATATAATTAGTTCTTTTGTATAAAACTAGGAGCTGTATTAAACTATGCCCATACTTGATTATTTAATTCTGCGTAACAACGTAATTGCTCTCCTTGCCAAATAAAAATCTTGCCACTTTGCAGAAGAATTTTCCTCACCTCTTCCCTCATTCCAAAAGTTGCATTAGGGGAGAATTGAATTACTTTATTTTAGAACCTACATTAAATTTTTGAGGTAAAAAATAAAATACATAAAACATGGAGAATTCAGATAACAGAGGTCACCTGTTACATTAAAACATGAAAGTCAGAACAATACTCTAAGTTACTGGATATAACGGTCTGCCTCTGTTACTTAGATGTTTAGCCATAGTTGAAGGGTATGAATCGTTTTCTGTATTTCCCTCTATTAGGAATATTAGATAGGTAAAAAAGTGGGTTTACTATTGAATGGATTACATAATATTTTGTTCAAAATCCTTGAAAAATCCCATGCCTCGATAGACATCCATAATGTCCAACTTCTTCATGAACTAAAAAAACCCTCCCCATTCTTTACCTTCTTTGTGTCTTCTGCCCCAGGAATCTTGTTTGTTTTGCTCAGCTCTTTCACAGGTTCTTGTTCCAGAAATGTTAACTTGTTTAGGTCTCTTTTAATATAAGGTATTTCTGAGCAATTGAATTCTGTTTTCCAAGCAGTTACAGTTTCTAAGCTTTTCTTCTCACTTACTAAATCTTGATTTTTTTTTTTAAGCATACTCAGTTCTTTTACAAAACTGTCTAATTTGATTCTCAGTTGTCTTGCTTCCTCTCGGGCTTTATTTCTTTCTGCTCTAACTTTGCTCCATTTCTCCCTCCAGTTAGCGGTACAATCTGACCACCAGCGCATGGTCTTCTCCATTTGGGCAGCTCTGGCTTTGACTTCTTCCAGTTCTCGAATTCTTACTGCTTCAAAAATTTCCCAGTCACTGCTGTGATTTGTTTGCATATATGGATAATGAGGTGAATATGGGTAGAAACTTTGAGATGGCAGATTTGAACTACACAGATGGCCACCTGGTTGGCAACCTCCAGCTAATTTATAAGGTTTTCCTGGTTGGGTCCCAAAAGCCTGTGTCTCTTCCATTAGCTTCTGAATGGAGCCTAAATTCATGTTTTGATTCATAATCTAATTTTATTCCTAAAAAAGACAAGACAGATGATAATTTAGGTTCCCTCAATTAAATTATATGAATAACCTCAAACAGTAGTTTATTTTACTGCTATAATAATGAGATAATCTTAATAATAGTGTTGATGTTTTAGAAATGTACTTCATCAACAAGAAATAGCTATTAAAATATATTTTATGTAATACTTCTTGAGCACAGCATGAACAGACATACTTACTACTTGACTAGGAATTGCTAGCAAAAGAAGCATCGGTACATAATCATAGTGTGCTCAAAACTTTTTGAGTCTAGGGAAACAAGGCAAAAGCTTTCTTCCCTCAAGACAAGATTAAATTGAATCAATATATATTTTAAAAGTCCGATAAGAGGAAGGTATTTGTCTAGAACCAAAGTCACAGATTCACTTGCCTTCTTTCCCAAACTGTGGAACTTCATACAAGGCAAAACTTACCTTATAATCTGCCTACCTAAACAAAACAATCCCCTCCCCCCCCACCCCCCAAAAAAAGAAAAAAACCCAAACAAACAAAAAAAACCAAACAAAAAAACAAACCAGCAACTGACCTTTGGGTTTTCTTTGTTTCATGAGAAAAATCAAGCATTTTTATAGGCAGCTTTATTTTGCTGTCTACATTCCAGACACTGTCCAGGAAGTATATTCTTATATTATTCTGGAAAGGGTAGCAATATCTTACTGTACTGTATAGCCTACCTCATGATGATATGGCTCTGCTAGTAAATCTTTTTGCGTTCCTTTTCATTATTTATCTGCTATTACTCATTCAGCCCAGAGGAAAACCAATGTCTCAGAAATTGCTTTCCCACCCCACTGCTGAGAAAATGTTAATGTGGACAGTCTGTAGCGACTAGTCACTTATACTTTCTTGTTTTTCCTCTTGAGTATCTTTAAAAAAAAAAAAACAAACAAACCACAAAAAACCCACCAAAACTAGTAAAAATCTTGCTATACCAGTAGAAGACTAAGTTGTTTAAAGTAAAAAAATGGCTCCTATATTCCAAAATCCATATGTGAAAAAATCATGTTTGTATGTTACAGCGATTAGTGTTACCACCTGTAGTTAAAATGTAGAAGGCCAATACAGTAAACACTGTTTTATGTAATACATCTTGAGTACAGAATAAACAGACATACTTATTACTTGACTAGGAATTGCTAGCAAAAGAAGCATCAGTAAATAATCATAGTGCTCTCAAAACTTTTTGAGTCTAGGGAAACAAGGCAAAAGCTTTCTTCCCTCAAGACAAGATTAAATTGAACACTGAAGAGTAGATAGTCTTGGCATTATGATTCAGTCATGTTTCATTTCAGCTGAATATAAGTTTTTGCAGTTTTTGGTTCCAGTTTCCCAGCTGTTTTCAACTTTTCAGTGCTTTCCAGGACATTTATTTGCCATTTGTTAGAAGGTCTAGAGAACTGTTGTAATGAAGTATGGATATGAGAGAAGAGAAGGAAAAGGACAGTACAGGTCTCCAACTCCATTATCACTGCCTGGTGTACCACCACCAACCCCTACAACAACACTATACAGATGTAGAACAGCTGCTGCCAAAGCTTGATCAGGGCCGAGTCTTTTTCTTGTTGCCTGAACTACTCCTTCACAAATTCTTGGGGGAAAAATAATTAGCCCTGTTATCCCATTCCAAATAAGATGTATCTCTACATATTGTTTATTACACAAAGACGAACATGATGTAAAAAGACTTCTCCACAGAATGGATTCATAGTGTGTCGCTAAAACCTATTTATGAATTCATTTATAAAGCCAAAATGATCCAACTAAATAAAACAGCGAGCATACTAGAAAATAGGACTACATTCATTATCTCTATTTTAATTGATTTCTCATCTTTTAGAATACAGCATAAGCACATTGAACTGCTATGTTCACCCTTTCTTAGAGACAAGTAAGGTAGATGTTGCTGATGTAAAGCTCAGACACACAGACACTTGTTTCAACAAGGTACTACAGATGTCACCTAATAACACACATTATGCCTGGCCAAGGTGACTTCTCCACAAACTTCTAAATTAAATTTATCTCAGGTGAAAAGAGGACATTTCTTAACTGGAAGACAGTTAAAGGAGATTTCTTACTATTGAAGAATTATTTGCTCTTTAATCTTGAAGTAAGGTCTTCAGCAAAGAGGATTTAGGTTTTTAATATAATTGCTTAATTTGAAAAGAAAAAAAAACCACCAAACATCGTTACAAAGTGATAAAAACCTGTAAAACTATTCAAGATCTGGTGGCTTTGTAAATTCATCCCTCTAATTTTTCTTATTTGTGCTTAAAATGTAACTCAAATAACTAGAGACTTGTAGAACAGGCTGACTAAACTGAGGAACATTCTTGTCAGTTTGTAGGAGAGTCTTTGGGGGAGGGGGAGAAGAGAAAGAAAAGCTAAAACTGCACCACAGAGAAATTCCTTTGTTCAGCAGCTAGGGTAACTTACTGAAGAAAAACTCTGACACCTATGAAGGCAAATTGTATTTATATTGGTAAAAATTATCATTTAACTGATATCTGACCATTAATAATCTTAAACATTGATGAAATAGATACAGCAGGTTAATGACTAGAAAAAACAGAACTTGTCTTTGGTCCCCCCTTTATCAGAAGTCAGTCAAATAGCAAATCATCAGTACACGCTTAAATTTCCCTACTTGTAAAACAAAGATAATCTACTGTTTGAAACAATCATTGAAAAGCACTGCCCAAAGAATTATGCATTGTTATTGCTAGGTGAGCAGATATTTTTTTCTTTTCAAATAGAAGGACAGCATTGAAGGGTCCACACCTGAATCCATAATTGTTGTATTGGAAACACAGCTCTGAAATATCTTGGTGTTTCACTATGTAGAAACACAAGCGAACACTCTTTGGGCCAAGTATTCTATTTTCACTCTCTTATATGTACAAATAATTAGTAGCTTTCATCACTTGTGGACAGATTGTCTCATTCTGTCCCCTTTGCACACAATGCAGATAATCAAATATTATCACTGAAGCACAGAGGAAGCGATGAAGCCAAATTCTCAAAAATAAAAGAATGAAAGGCAACTAGAGCCCCTGATTCACTGGACGCTTTTCAGATCTGTATTTTATCCATAGGATTTTTTTTATGCAATTTATCTTGGAAGATTTATCACTTACTAAAAACAATAGACGTGTACAAAAGTGCAATGCTTCTTTGAAGTCTTTCAGATTTATTTTTTGTTCAGTAAGCAAGGTGCCACAGCAGCCTCTTAATTTAACACAAGAGACAACATGAGTATATAGAATGTGGTAAGCATGAGTCATGAGTTGTTCTGATTTTAATAATTTAATAATAACCTCAAGAAAAAAAAAAATCACACAACTGTTTTTACATTGTTGAATTTCCATTTCATCTTATATTGAAACATCCACAAGTCTTCTGCTTACAGCCCTGGTTTAATTGAAGTAAAAGTGTGTTTTCTCATTAGCATTTATGAAAGTAGGATTTTCTGCTTTGCCAAAGTACTGTACTTTCATGACCAGTGTAACCCAGCATAAATCCACTGCTGCTGAAAAGACAGCCCCTACTTTCTCACACATGCATCTACATGTTCTTGACTATGTAGCTTTTCCTTTTAGTAGAAGTAGTGAAAAAATCAGGTCAAACAGATGCAACATTTGCAGCTAGTAATTTTTTGGCTTCATCTGTGCCCTCATATTTCACTAGTGGCTGCATGAAACCAAGTGTTTCCACAAAACATGGTGTAGAAACAAGACGTGGAAGGAAAGTCCCTTTTGACAGCATCACAGAAATGTAAAATCATCATAGCTAGTAGAATTACATAAGTAATATCCAGGGAGCAACAGCCAAGAGTTTGTGAACAAACAAAACAAAAAAATCTATATGTTGTATACAAGATTATACTTAAAACGTGTTATTTGACTTCTGTGACAATACTGTATGAAACTGAAAGAGGAAAATGTATTTCAGTGATGACTAGAGCAGATTTGCCATCCTATGGAGAAAAGGCTTGGGCAGGAACGTCTTTTTGGCTAAAGCGAGTTTTTGCCTACAAACTTCATTTCTTGGCAAAAAACTACGATATATCATGCTGATCCATTACTGTAACCCTACCTGTCAGGTTAGTCAGCCTCTAAGACTATGGGTGATGAAAGCAAATGAACTACCCTTTAAACTGCCACACATCGTTGTCATGGTATTTCCAAACATTTTTTCTAATTATTATTTTGTAGAAAAACCCTAGAATGTCTAGAATTGGACATTTTAATGTAATGTTTAAGTTCTCTGCAGATATTTTTCACAAACATTTGCATTTAATCAGAAGACTAATAGCTTCTCATGAGTGTTAAAACACAAGGCTAATAGCATCAAGGATGAATATTCTTATGCAGCTAGTTTAATATCCATGTTGGAACAGAGAAACTCTGTTGCTACAGAGTTGTTGAGCAACTGTGATAAAAATGGCAAAAGGAATTCTATTTCAACTGTGAACGATTAAGACTTGTGCTTGTATCTATTTTAAAAAAAAAATACACTAAAGTACTAGTCTTGAAAGGAAGAAAAGATTTAAAAATAACAAAAGTGTTGATTGTTATAAAAGTGCCTGAAATGGTCAGAACCTCACAGTTCCAGATGGACGATTAGGATAGGCTTGTTTTGTTTGGTTTTGTGGTTTTTGGTTTGGGGTTTTCTTTTCCACTGCACATCAGTCTGATCTTTCATTTCCTCAAAAATACTGCACTGACAAAATAATCATAATAAAAAAAAAAAATAACTGAAGACTGTTGTGATACTGAATCAATTGATTCTGAATCTTTAATCATCCCTGTAGTTCCAGTGATACTTTTAAAAAAATTTCTCTTCTCTGGTATATGACCACCTCATAAAAAAGTAATTCATGGTAAAATATCAGATATCTACATTGAACCTTGAAAACTCTCATCTATAAATATTGCCAACCTGTTCCAGGGAGG